GCTAGTAGATCCACATTTTATCCAGGAGGTAAATCCAGAAAGACAGTCAAATAAAAGTATCTGGGAACCAAGAGTCAGAGATGCCTTTTTCACAAATTATACAAGCACTTAGTTGTACTTGTATTTGTAGACATGTTAAAATGAAATCAAAGCATATGCATGATTACGGCAGTATAAATTATATATAGACTTAAGGTGCATTTTACTGCTTTTAAATGTCATAATGGTTCAAATATAAACCACTTTTACAGTACGTGAGTATTACCATGCAAAGCATAAAAGTAGAGCATATCTTCGTGGCAGCTAAACTCATTATCAAGGAATCATCAATTAGCCAACAGCCTGAGTAACACTCTGAAGAAGGAAGAGCTTTCAAAACTGAAGTTAAGAAATTATTTCACAAGAATTATATTTCATGCCATGTAAACAAATGTTTGTGAATGCCTGATCACTGTTAAAATTACTTCATCTTTGATCCTTAAAAGAGTGAAATGGAAAAGCTGCTAAAATAAAACTTTTCTGTTTTAATCTTAGAGAAACTACTTTTATAACCACATTTGAATAAAATATTTAATTTGTTATCTGGCTGAATAATACATTCATCCGTGAATTCATTTGGACTTCTGGATCAATGCCTATGTTGGGATCATGCCATATAAAGACAGACAAATTGATTTGTAGTTGTATGCTTTTTATGTCAACATAAAGACAAAGGGGTCCTAAAAGGAGTTGCAGTGGTGAAATAAATGATAAAGTGTGCATATCAGACCTAGAAAGTCATTCTCATAGAGGAAGTGTTAAAATGGCCTTGCTGAGTCACAGCCTGCTTGGCTCTTAGGTACCTGTCAGCTGCTTTATGAGTCCTATACTCCAACCTGACACCTGAATAAGGTTGAAATTTGATGATGGTGTTGTGCTTTGATATCATGGTGAAAGTGAACTGACCATAATTGTAAATTCAATTCAATAAAAACTTTATTGATCCCGAAGGTTGGCCCCGAAGGAAATTGGGTTAAGGCTGCCGGCCTTGTCAGCGCCATCTTCCCCTTGTGACCATACAGACGTTACACAAACATCACATGGGGAAGACAGGTCAGAGAGGTATAACAATGGAAGATGCACAACATGAGGAAAGACGAGGAGAAAAAAAGAACTCCCTAAATGGTGATAGCGGCTTGTCCGTCTCTTTTAGTTGAGCTACTTTAATAAAACTCTTTAATTTACCCTCATGCCTTTTTGTCTCCTTTTTCTGACCCGGACACTTTTTGTTACCTCCCCCTCACCGCCTAGACCCCTCAGGGGAACGTAACAAGTGGGGGCTCGTCCGGGATTAGTTTAGCCTTTTACTAGGCCTGGCAACCTTGTCAGTTTGAGAACCACGACTGACTTTTCTCAAAGCAGGCCCTTTTTGCGTTGAGTGGGCTTTCTGTTTGAGTGCCAGTTTGACACAATTGGCAACCACATGGCCAGGCTTGTGACAGAAGAAACACAGTTTGGGCCTAGATCTTAAAACCATAACTGCATTTGCCTTGTTAGCTGGCCCACTCTTGCCTGTCCAGGATGCGCTATGGTGCAGATGGATATCATGTCCTACAGCACTTGCTTTATGAGTCAGCTTAAACTCATCTGCCAGGGTGGTAGCTTGCTGTAAAGTTGAAGCCCTCTGTTCACTTACATAACAAGCAATAGACTCAGGAACAGAGTTTTTAAAGTCCTCCACCAGCAGGACTTTAAAAACACACTCACCTGACAGTGAGTGTAGGCAAAAGTCAACAATCTTCGGTCAACGCGGGTGGCCTTGGATGAGGGGGGAGAGCAACAACAAGTCCTGTTATCTAAGGGAGAATTTTGTTATTCCCATCAGCTTTTGCCTTGAGCATCCAGCTGGCGCCAGGGGGGCCGCATGAGATGAAGATTGTAGTTGTATTGGTTAGTGCGAACAAACTGCATCCAATTTTACAGTTGGTCTAATGTCCGTCACTGGTCACCAGGTCTCTCAATCCCCGTTGCAAAGCCATGAGCTTCTTCAAGATCTTATCCATATTGCTTTCAATAAACACAGTCTGAGTGCTCACAGCCCTGCCCATCGTCTATCATGTCGGCCAGCCTTATGGGATTTTGAACAGCTGTAGCCACTTCTTGTTCTTTGATGAGCCAGGTCCGAGCCAGCTCCCATCAGCCAAAACTCTGTTATCGTGGTTCCGAATTGGTAGATGTTGTTCAATGTCCTCCATCGAGAGTGTTGCCAGACACATGACGCAATCGACCATCGAGTATCCGGCAGCAAACGTCTCCAAAGGACAATCGGGCTCTCCCAAGTCCCGGCTTCTCATCGAGAAGAGGTTTTCAATTCGTTAAGCGACCAATTAATCAAATCAATAATTCTTCTTTAGGTTTATAGAGAACACGTCTGGGAGTCTCTCTGAGGGTTAGAGTTTCCAAAGCCTCAGGTATGGACAGCTTGCTGTACTTCTTAGGCACGTTCTTTGGTGCACCTTTCTGCAGCTTTGATAGCTGGCTAACCTCCCTCCATGCCACCTTGAGCTTAGTCTCCAGTCTCCTTCTCCATGGAGGGTACTGCTTTGTGGATGATGATATATTCTCACACTGATCCTGCATGGTGATGGTACCATCCACCCACTCCTCCTGGATTCACATCTTCATCATCATCTTTATCAACCCTCACAATATTACACCTTCATCCGCTTCATGTTCAGGAGCCTAATTTTCTCCATGGGTTATGGTGGGATGTTGAGTGCTGAAGTCAAACAGATCTCAGAAATTAAAGACTGATTCATTTATATTTTATATTTATGAGAAGCAGATAGTGCATCCATTATTCTCCTTATAGGCTTGGGCTATTCATAGATTTGCTATGATACTCTGAGCATTTCTTCTGTTTTCACTCCTGATGCTTTTATATGCATATCCTTAACTTTTGTCCTCTCTGTCCTCAGTTTGTCTTTTGTTCTTTTCTCTTCGTGCACATCCCTCTGTGCTCACCTCCCACCCAAACAGCCATGTTAAATGGAAGACATGAGAAGCCAAGCAGGAAAGATAAGGGAGGGAGAGGGAGAAGGAGAAAATGTGACCGCCTCCGTCAAGAGCCAAGAAATATGTGGCATGATCGGTTAGCCAACCAACTTGATAACATTCTGAAGAAGTAGCAGCTTTCAAAACATCCTTTAA